TTATTTGGTCTTGACCTGCTATCTTCCTGCTCTCTGATTGCCTTCTCCAGAAGCTTTTAAGGCTTCACAAATTCACATAGTGAGACATTTTCTCTAGATTTTGGTTTTATCAATTAGAGAATTTGCCTTCTAATGAGTATTAAAATAAACTTCAAAATTATTTTTCTTTTTATAAAAATCTCTCAAAAGGGAACCCTAGTGCACTGTTAGTGGGAATGTAGCTTGGTGCAGCCACTATGGAAATCAGTATGGTGGTTTCTCAAAAAAACTAAAAATAGAACTACCATATGATCCAGCAAGTCCACTTCTGGGTATTAATCCCCCAAAATGAAAATGCTAATTCAAAAAGATACATGTACCCCAATGTTCACAGCAATATTGTTTACATTAGTCAAGAGATGGAAGCAACCTAAGCGTTCATCAATAGATGAATGAATAAAGAAGATGTGGTGTGTATATATATATACCATATATATACAATGGAATATTACTCAGCCACACATGCAAAAAAGTGAAATTTTGCCATTTGCAACAACATGGATGGATTTTGAGGGTATTATGCTAAGTGAAATAAGTCAGACAGAGAAAGACAAATACTTTATGATACCACTTATATGAGGGGTCTAAAAAATAAAGCTAAAAAATATAACAAAATAGAAAAAAAAATTTAATTTGAGAACACAGGAATAAAATGATTTAACTGGTGAGTCAGGATCCAAAGACAGAAGTGACACATAATATTATTGCTTCTGCTTGTTTTACAATATATTGCAGAACTGTTTATAATTTAATAAATGGGTTTATAACTGGTTGGGGGGGAATGAGCTGAATAGATGGAATTATTTTAAAATAAAAATAAAATAAAAAACATAGCATTTCTTTACTTCTGATGACTAACCCTCATTAATAGCAGATATTTTTTTATGTTTTATAAATTTTGGAATCATCTTTATTTGTAAGTTGAAAAAAAGATATAATTTTGTTTTATTATTTAGATTTGCTTACCTGATTAACAGTCCTCTAGAGAGGAAAAGGATTGGTATTTATTACTTATATAGCACTTTTTAAAGTGCACTGACATAGAAAACAAAATTACGGTTTCCAAAGGGGAAAGAGAATGGGGGGGGAGGGATAAATTAGGAATCTGGGATTAACAGATTAAACAGTACTATATATAAAACAGGTAAACAATAAGGACCTGACTGTATAACACAGGAAACCATATTTAATACGTTGTAATAACCTTAATGGAAAAGAATCTGAAAAAGAATCACACCTGAAACAATGTAAATCAACTATAAGTCAAAAAAAAAGGATCTATTGGAAGTCTGTTCTATAATCTGAGAGGGAAGAACTGAGCATGTAACACTAACCTTATCTGATTCAAATTAATCCTTTAAAATGTTCCATGGAAGCAAGAACATCTGCCAGCCCTAAGTAACCAAAGAGAGAGAGATTTTAGCTAATCAAACTAGAGAATTAGATTCTCTTAGTAGAACAGAATCAGGCATCCACCAGGAAGAAGACACTGTAGAAACCATTGCAGTGGCAGATGGAAGATACCTCAATATGCAGTGACCTAAGAACAGGATAAAGACAAAAGGCTATGTTTTCTCTCAAAGTTGACCAGAAGCACTGCTATTACTGGAATTAATTAATGCACATTTTGATTGGCCAATTCTGAATTGTTTTAGGAAATTTGAGTGTTCCAGCTGAGACTCTTGGGAGTGGTGACTGGCTCATTGTATAGGAGTCTCAAATATTCTAGATATTAATTTATGTTCCAAGGAATATCAGTAACATTCTTTATCCTTCATCAGCCTGAGTAGCTTTCATAAAGGATATAACAGTTTTGAGAACTTAGAAGCATAAAAAATCCAAAAATATGTTAAATCACTCTCTAGGTTCTTTGACCTGATGATCAAGACCTCTATTTTGTCCTCTGTTCTATACCTCTGTGCTGAGTTCAGCTCTCCTCCTTCACATCCCACCTAAATGATCCATGGGCAAGTTCAGATTTACTTTATCATCAGATTCATTTTTAGCCTAACTACACCAAAGCACACCTTCCAAATGTCCCAGTGTGACCTATGCATGATGCAAAATCTATTTCTTAATCTAATGCTCAGATCACAATTTTTGACATTGCAATATCAGCATTAATTTTGAAACCTTGGCAAGAACCAAAGCATCATTCTTACCTAGGTGCCTAACAGTGCAGGGCTCTGAGACTTTGAAAAGCAAGAGCAACTTTTCTTTGTTTTCCATCTACACAAAGCATACCAACTTCCACCAACTGAGTAATGCAAATTTAATCAGCCATCTAACAATATTTCTAAATCTGATTACGTTTCAGTATGAGAACTTACAAAAGACCCCCAAAAGTCACATTAAAGTGTCTGATCTACAAGGCAAAGAAAAAGTAGCTTGCAGTTTACCTTCCAAGAAAACAAAATTTAAAAAATCATACACAAAGCACTTCAATGTAGCATTTTATGCACATTTCCACCAGAGAAACGAGCTGAAAGACCAAATGTTCTCATATCCAGCTATCCAGACTCTTTTAGCACTAGTGAAAAGAGGAATGATTATTTGTGTAATGTGAATATGACTGAAGTAGCCAACCTGTAACCTGCACGCATTTCTTTACACTGCTCATGCACAGACAAGCATGCTGTTCCCAGCCAGGAGATCAGGACACAATCTAGTACTGATTTGGTTCTGTTGGTGCACACCTGGCATCACCAAAAGTTTTAACTCAGCCAGTCACCTGATAACTTACAGCTATTTTGGTCTACTTTTGTTTGATTTAGAGCTTGGAATTATATTGTTTCCACTTCCAGTGTTCTTGTTTTAGTTTTATGCTTTCTTATAATGAATGAATCACTGAGCAAGATATTATCTAAATAGCAAAAATTCAGAACAAGCTTCCAGCTTTGTGTTGCCAATTACTATCTATATTAACTACTTTACTAACTAATCAAAGAAACACACAAACAGAAACGTGATACTATTTTTCACATAACAAAATGGCAAATTTTAAAAATAGTAATAATCAGAGTTGACAATGATGAGAGTAAATATTAATTGGTACAGCTTTTCAGATTGATATTTGGCAAAAATACTTTAATCCAGTGATTCCATAACTAGGAATTGATCTCAATGAAATCATCAGGGATGCAAACTAGAACATAGGAATAAAACAAATCTTCAATGAGCTGTGTATAATTGTGAAATACCACAAACCACCTCAATAATGGGAATTAGATAATTTATTAAACTTATATATATGGAGCTACTATTCAGCCATTCCTTGATTAAGAGCAAGAATATTAAGAATGGGAATACTCCCATTATAAAACATTAATGTAATTCAGTATAGAACATTACATTGTATGAGACCAGAATATGCCACTCCAAAATATGCCTCTTTGGTTTAAGAATTATTTTTAGCTCATTATTTTGAGAAACAGCAGACACAGGGAACCTCTGAGAACAGTGTAAGTTACCCTTTCATAGAGAAATTTACATTTATATAGAAAATCTCTGTTTGCAAGGGTGTCTTCCTCTCAGTACCAGGAAGAAAAAGATGACTAAATCACAAGAGATTCTTACCAATGGAGAAGGCACCGATTTAAATCTGCATAATAAATCTTCACTGTATTTTTCATGGTCATCTTCTCATAACTTACTTCCCCCAACTCTTATTCCTTTGTTTTAACTGAAGTGGTATTTAAAGATGTGGGAGTTTTCCTAGATTGATTAAAGGCACCATCCTATAGATCCAACAAGCTCAGCAAACTCTAAACAGAATCATTTCAAAGAAGACCTCACCTAAAACATCATAATCTGTTGAAAACCAAATAAAAAGTAAAAATCTTAAAAGTAATTAGAAGAAAACAACAGATTATATTCATGGAACAACAAGAAGGAAAACAGCTGACTTCCCACAAGAAACAATGGAAACAAGGAAACAAAAGACAAACCCCTTTTTTTTTTTTTTTTTTTTTTTTGGGGGTACTAGGGCCTCTCACTGTTGTGGCCTCTCCCATTGCAGAGCACAAGCTCCGGACACGCAGGCTCAGCGGCCATGGCTCATAGGCCCAGCTGCTCTGCGGCATGTGGGATCTTCCCGCACCGGGGCACGAACCCGGGTGCCCTGCATCGGCAGGCGGACTCTCAACCACTGCACCACCGGGGAAACCCCTAGCCACTTCTTTTGAGTTACTAATCCCAGAGTTTCTCCCATGTGTATATGAAATATACATGCTAATAAACTTGTTTGTTTTTCTCTTGTTAGTCTTTTGTTACAGGAGCCCCAGCTCCTCAAGGATAGAAGGAAAATATACTTTTCCTCCTCTACAATATAAAATTAAATAAAATGAAGTCTGGTTGCTCTCAACTTCATTAACAAGACATTGATTTTCTTATAGAACTCCAATAGGATGTGACTTCCTGAGCAGTCATAGATTTCAGGTCAGCTTCAAAAAGAGACCAAGAATGGGGAATTATTAGGATAATATGTTGAAACTGGACACATGTTCCTCTCTCAGGTTCAAGTGACTTTTAATAACTGATTGTCTGCTATTGGGACTCCAGACCCGAATTTTGACCAAGCCTCTGATTTGATCTATACCAGGGTTCACAATATGGAAAGAATGTGGTAAGGTGTACTGTTGTTACACTGGGCCACAAGCCTGGTAGTTGGCTTCCATTAGAAGTTAGCAACATATCTGGTCACAGAAAAATCCAAGCTATTTTTTTCCAACCATGTTCCCAAATTATACCGTATTTAATTGTTTATTACAAAGAATTGCTCCCCAAATTAGTAGGTTTTACTAATTAGTTTCATACCCTTAATCACATTAAAAATATCCTAAAAGATTTTATTTAAGCCCAATTTGCTTTAAAACAAAAATCTCAGCATTGTAATTAACCAAATTTTACTATGTGAAACACACACCCAAAATATATGAACAAAGACATAGGGAAAAACTCACATAAAAGAATCCAAGTGGTCCAGATATATATGGCATTTTCATTCCCAAGAGATATTTGACTTGTGAAGTCACAACATGGGTGGCAGCCCCAGTTGTCATCGCACTGATCACAGGTTCTGTAAGCAGG